GAAATGGGAAGCTACTGCTATCATCCTTCTATCCCAAACAAATAAAAACTCTAGGGACAACTCTGGAATTTTCTATCTCACTTGTTTTTCATTATTTTTTAGTAAGTTACAGTGATATCATTATTCTTTGTCGCCCTGGGTGATTCCAATATTGATTTTGAGATTTTTCCAGCCATTCTATAGAATGCATCTCATTTATAAGGTTCTACTTCACTGCTGTGGGCACAGTTGCATTGTGAATGTTTTATATTTTCCAGATGATAACATCATATGAAATATGATACCATCCTTTTGCGTTTTGATAATCCCTACCTCCAGCAAGCTCAAGACCATGTGATTTCTTTTTCCATTTCAGTTTAATTCAAATAAAACACAACATAATTTTTTTAATCGTCCAGTGTTAAAAGAAATATTGAAAAATTAGTTGCAGAAGCCCATCTAGCTATGTAAATGTTTCCACCAAATACCTCTAAACTCTATCCTTTTAAATAAACTTCTTACCTGAGTCAAGTTTTACTTCTGAATTTTTTTTCTAGGATAAAATTTTTAAAATGCATTTTTCTATGTCACTTGCCTTATATTTAAATGATTAAATAAGTTGGTCCATATTTTCAGGAAGCAAGATTAAGAAGGCACAATATGTAAGGATAAAATGATCCAAAAATATAGAGCAATACTCAACCAACTTCAAAGCTTATAAGTTCAAAAGACTTTCATTACCAAGAAGGTAACATAAACAAGTAAAATGGCCTGATGATACACAGTAAGGATGATGGGGACTGTGGCAAAGTGAAGACTCCATGACCGACCCATGTTAGAGGCAGCTGCTACTCAGCTACAGCAAATGCTTGCCATGAGGAAACATGGTTAGTGTTGACAAATTTTGCAACTGTATATGTGTGTGTATTTGAGTGTGTGATTTTTTTAAAAAGTCAGAAATCTAGACTTTTTTTCTGAGAAATTTCACACTTGTGTGTGTTAAACAGAACACAACTATACCACAAAATTAGACACTGCTCTAAATGGACATAATCAAATATTTAGTACCTAATCGAATTCAGTGTTCTACACCTTCCAGCTTTAGAAGGATAGCTTAATTAGAGTTCAAAGATAGTAAAAATATCCAGTTTTTATATCCTGCTACCTAGGTGTTAGTAGGCTCTAAATGGTAAGTGATTCTTTCAACCAGTGTAGACTCCTAATATCCCAACACAGAAACTTGCCTTAGAAAACCAAGCTGAAGTACACAAGATAACTGCTGTCATAGATAGTATCCATATATTGCATTAAAAAAATCACTGGCATTTATCATCCTAGAATCTTCTATCTCTGGGGATTCTGTCATAAATATATCTGACCAGAAGCCTGAAAAGCCCTTGGGACTCACCCTGGGGAACCCCTTGCTTGGATCACTCACTTTGACTGATTTCTCTCCCAAACTTTGCGATTTCTTCTTCATTTTATAGTGCATCTGTTCCTATGGAAACATTGGTGCCAAAGACTTGGGCAAAACTGAACAAAACCCCAGCCTTCACTATATAAATCAAGTCATGTTTGAGCAGAAATCATACCACCAATTAGGCGTATTCATACCAGGCTTGGGACAATAGAGCAGTAGGTGTTAAGCTGCATCTAGCAATCAAATAATTATTCTCAATGTTTTTAAGAAGCTCAGTTTATTTATTCTATTGTTGGAAAGCCGGCTCTCAGCTTATAGTTTGCTTCATTGCTTTCTCTCTTCTCCATGTGTTTAGAATCTCTACCTTATACCCATATTCAATATTGGAATTTTTGTCTTTCTCCAACCAGAATCAGGTAGGGGGTTTAATCTTTCTCTCTACCTCTTTTTTATTGATAGAAAATAGAAAACTAATATTAGTGTGAAATTCATTTGTGTGTTTTAAAAAAAATAGATACTTTTTGATTAGATTATTTTAGATCAGCCAATTTTTGTGTAGGATTCCAAACAGAACTTTTCTTATCCACTGAGTTGCTATCTACCACAGCGTCGATGGCCTTGGATTCAGATGGTATGGGGTTTGACTCTGCTTCTTGACTCTATCTAACCACATGATATTTTGCCTTGAGTGACCTTTTAAATCATGGTACCACCCTTTTGCATTTGTATTCAAATTTTTGAGCCTGGGTAATATCCATTCATCCATAGATATTTATTAAAGACCTGACATGTGCTGGTGTAAAGCCAGGTGCTAGGGATATGAAGATGCAGCAACAAGATGCCTTCTTAAGAAGAGTTCCCAGTTTAGTGCAAGAAGAACTCTTGCCTGGAGTTAAGTTTATACACACACACACACACACACATTGTGATGACTGAGAGGAACAATCAGAACCATGTGGGAGGATTTTGAGGGGTGTGGGGGAAGGTTGTAGCTAGATAGGAAGTTTTCAATGAAGGGGTAATACTCAGATAACAGAAAATCATTTTGGGGGTAGAAAGGAAAGAGGACAGACAGGAGGCTGATACAAGATCTAATTGAGAGACACAAAGGGGAGTGGCAGTGGAGACAGGGCAGGGCACATGCGAAAAAGGTTTTTTAGGTTGCTATTTATTCATGCATTCATTCATGCACTGATTCATTTTGAGACACAGTCTTGCTTTGTCACCCAGGCTGGAGTGCAGTGGTGCGATCTCAGCTCACGGCAACCTTCACCTCCCTGGTTCAAGTGATTCTCCTGCCTCAGAAAGAACATTGTCTTAAAAACCACCAGATGAGAAAAACCCTAAGTTGTTTCTGTAAAATTTTTTAAAATCCCCCTTGTCCATCAGTGTTTTTATTTTTAGAGGTTAGATCATACCCACATAGCAACTGTTCCTACTTTAGAGGAATAATCTTTTTTTAAAACAAATAAGTGTAAATTTTCTGCTCTTCCAAGTTCACTTCCTGGGTCGGTAAACTGATGTAGCTATAAAATAAGGGCCACACAGCTGATCGTTAAAAACAATTAGCTAAGAAATCAGTATTATACAAACACCATTTGCATGATTACAGTGACCATTAGAAGCAAACACGTGAAGTTCCCTCTAGAAAATAGCTAAATAAATTCGTGAATAGTATTCCAGCCTTGAATTTTAATTGAAGCTAATAACTGTTGTGTCTATCAGAGAGCTTTTATTTGGAACCAAATGTGGGAGTTTCTCTCTCTCTCTTTTCTCTCTCTCACCTTCCCTCCCTTCCTCCTTTCCTTCCCCCGTTATGTAAGTTGCTATCGAAAGAATGATGGAACCACTATTGATTGGAACCAGAAAGTCTTCTTGGTTCATTTGGACAATAGGGCAATGAAAGAGTAGCAGGGCCATGAACCAAGTGCTTTAGAGAAACCAAGGTACTCCTCATGGCCAATTTACCTTAATCATCAATGACACAATGGCAATTCCACTGAAAATTAGCAAAGGAAATCCCACAACTGAACATCTGTTTAAAAATGTAAGTTAAGTCTTCTTCTTATACAAGCAACCAAATATTGATTTTTGTTTCGGAACATTCGGCTAATCATAATACCCAACACAGCAAGGCAGTCAATGCATTTACTCTCCCTTTTTATGAGGAAATCTACAAGAACAGAAATGCTGAATCTGAGGATTTGAGAGTATTGGAGAGTCAAAGTGGACTGATTCATCCAGTGACTTTTGAATTATGTAAGGTTCAAGGATTCCAAACAAAACTTTTCTTATCCATTGAAGTGCTGTATACCACAGTGTTTATGGCCTTTGGATTCAGACCATCCAAGGCTTCCTGCCTCTATCTAGCTGCATGATATTTGCCTTGAGTGACTTATTTTACAGTGCTCTTATGAAGACTAATTAATATACATAGATAAAATACTTGGATGTGGGCTTAACACATCTTGTTCAATCAATATGTTAGCTATAATCACAAAGGTGTAATCTATTTTTCTTATAATCTACATTGCCATTGCATGATTAGCTAATTATGTGTGTGTGTCTCAACAACTGAGTGTTATTTTTTTAAAGCAGTTACCTGAGCAGGCCTGATCCTAACATTTGAGAAACAAGAGTATGAAAGGAGTTCCACATGTTACAGATCTCAATATATAAATACTGTAAATCAAGCTAAAAATGTTAATTTAAATGTGCTATGTCTTCCTGGCTTGATAAATATGCCTTTACAACAACCTAGAAGCCAGGTTTAAATTTAGAATACTTGAATTCCAGAACATGGCAAAGCAAGAAGACCCAGTCTTTGCCCCGCTCCCCATCCCTTTCTCTTTTTACCATGGCCTCCAGCACCCGTGTTGAGACTACAGTCCACAAGTCCAAGCTCCACCTAACCTCCCACCAACCAGTCTTTTTTTCAGCCCCCATTGGGTCCAGGAGACATGAGAAGTAAATTCCAAGGTCCCAGCTATGCAGAGCTAGACTCAGAAGGAAGCAAGGGGCTCTAGGGAGTGCATGGGCTCTTTGATTGCTGCAGAAGAGCAGGGCTCTCCAGGTGCTGAGAAGTTGAAGTGCGGAGTAGCAGAGCCCTTTACTAAGCAGTGAGCAGGGCAGGGACCTCTCTTGCTAATTTAAGATTATTTTCTCTGTCCTGTTTTTAGTGCAAGTGAAGAACAATTACCTTTTCTTCCCCTTCCACTTACAAGTCATCTTTCTTCACAGAAAAGTTTATAAAGAGTTTATAAAAGCAACAACATGATTGTTAAGTTACCTGGACAACCACAGACATTTCCTATTGATGGTGAGAACTGCAGTAAGAATACACACTAATCTAAGCATGATCTTTTAATATTTGATTAATAATAACTTCAGTTATTAACCAAAGTTAATTGAACCAAGAGCCTTGTATTCATGGTGAACTAACCTGAAACATGACCATTAGGCTTGATGAATATAAGATAATTCAGAAAAGAAGGCTAGACCTGTGTTTGGTACCTGATCTATTTCCAAACTATACCTTTTGCTTCTGCTACACTGTTTTTTTTTTTTTTTCAGATTATCCCTTTCTAGGGTTTTCTCTTACCTGAGAAAATGGGACCTTCCTTTCAAAATTCCTGCTGGTATATGAGGATCAAGCTGAAAAGCCACACTCTTCCTGACACGTCACTTCTGGCTCCAAAAAGTATCTTCTTTGTGGGGTACCCACACTGCACCTTTAATGATGCACATCACAGTGAACGTTATTCCATGAACCTTAAGTTAAACTCTCATGTCATAGCAGATGTTTCCTTTGGAGCGGGAGAGAGGGATGGCTGGTATTCAACCCTGCTAAGATAATGGGCATTTCTGTTGTCTTTTTATGTTTGGCTTGGTTTGGTTTTGGTTTTTAGCACCCATCATGTCTCTTGGGTTTCTTTCATTGGAAAGGGGTAGTGGGACTGCTAATCAAGGTACGCCACTTCTACAAAGTGGACTGTGGTCCACTTTGTCCCAAGCATAACAGCCAGTGGACTGTGGTCAAGCTCTGAACAAGTAATTCTTGGCTGGGACCTATTTCTCAAGTGCCTGATATCTAGACCTGGAGCTAAAAGCTTCATCTGCTTCCATGCTGTTTTGGGGTGTGTGTGTGTGTGTGTGTATGTGTGTTTTGGGAGATTCTCCATCTTCCCCCCACCACATTTCTGGAAATTCTTTTAGCTTCCTAATATCCTTCTAGTAAATTCCTTTTGCTGGAATTAGGCAGAGTTTATTTCATTTGCATGCAATCTAGGAGTCATTGCTGATACACATGGCAGAGCCCCTGACGCAAGAGATAATCAATGAATGTTTGTTACATAAATGAATAATTACAACCTAAATGTATATCACTGCTTATTTACAAAATAGCCAGTTTTTTTTTCTGATTCATAAAAGAACACATTAATGATTAATTTCTTTTTCAAGGCAGGGCCTACCGCTGTTGCCCAGTGGCGCAATCTTGGCTCACTGCAACCTACGGCTCATGGGTTCAGACATCCCTCCCACCTCAGCCTCCTGAGTAGCTGGAATTACAGTCGTGCACCACCATGCCCAGCTAACTTTTTTATTTTTTGTAATTATGGGGTTTTGCCATGTTGCTCAGGCTGGTGTTGGGCTCCTGAGCTCAGGTGATCCACCTGCCTCAACCTCCCAAAGTGGTGAGATTACAGGTGTGAGCAACTGTGCCCACCTACTACATTTTTTTAAATTTGGAAAAGTGTAGCAAAATAAAAGACATCCATATTTCTACCACCCAGAGATTGCCTAACTTTTTAATTTTGTTCTTCTTTTATATACCTGCATCATGTTTTCATTTCACAAAACACACATTAACGATACAATATATGTAGTAGTGCATTTTGTTTTTTTCCACTTAAAATTGTGAAGGTTGTTTCATGTCATTATATAATCTTCAAAATGATTAATTTTAATAGCTATATAAAAGTCTGTTATCTTAGGATCTTAAACGTCTTTAACGAACTCTCAAGTTCTAGTTATACAGGTTGTTTTTAATTTTTATTACTATGAAATATATTATAATACACAATTTTGCCTGTATCTACTGCCTTAGCAAAGACAAACATAAAATAAAAAGCAAGAGAAATGGTATGTCAATTAATTTGGGCTTTTAAAAGCTTTTGACAATTTTTTTTTTTTTTTTTGCGACAGAATCTTACTCTGTCACTGAGGCTGGATCACAGTGACACAATCTCGGCTCACTGCAACCTCCACCTCCCAGGTTCAAGTGATTCTCCTGCCTTAGCCTCCCAAGAAGTTGGGATCACAGGAGTGTGCCACCTCACCCAGCAATTTTTTTGTATTTTAGGAGAGATGGGGTTTTGCCATGTTGGCCAGGGTGGTCTCAAATTCCTGGCCTCAAGTGATCCGCCTGCCTTGGCCTCCCAAAGTGCTGGTATTACAGGCATGAGCCACTGCGCCTGACAGACCTTTTGACAAGTATTTTTAAACTTTTCTGTAGGAAGGTTGTATTATGTAACCCTCCCACCACAAGTAATGAAAGAGATTGTCCTTCTCACTGCATCCTTGCCAGTATTGAGTTTATTTTTTGTATTTTTTACTTATTTAATACATAAAACATGGCACTTCATTTTCATTTGTATTTGCATTTCTGGGATTAATAGCAATAACATTAAACATGTGCATTGGTCTTTTATTTCTTCCTTTTGAATTATTTATTCATATATTTGGACAATTCTATTGGGGTGCTAATGTTTACTCGCTGATTTGCAAGAGTTCCTCAGGGCTACTGTGAACTATCATGTCATGTTTGGTGTCAATATTATTTTCCATGATTCTGTTCTGCTTTAAAATACATGCATTTCTGCATATGAAAGTTTAAAATATATTCAAATCTATGTTTTGCTTTGTGATTCTTCCCATTGATTTTATATTTTAAAAGTACTTCCCCTAAAATTAAATATTTTATTCTAGCTTTGTTTTATGCCTTGCATATAAACTTATCAATTTATGTGGAATTTCGTTTGGAAGGTCATGTAAACAGAGGTTCTTAGTTGAATGTTTTCTATACACTTAGCCTATTTCCATGACGTTTTTGTCAAATACTCCTCACTGTTTCATAATACTTTCTCCGTCATATTTCTGTTTCTAACAATGACCTAAATCTGTTTCCAAGCTCTTCTATTCCACTGAGATATTAATTGATTCTTACACCAGTACTACATTGCTATAATAATTACCGTTCAATGATCAAATTTATTTTTATTTCAACAATGGCACTCATTACCACTATAGCTACCATCTACCTACCTTCACCCACATCTACCACCCACCACCCCCACCCATAACACCTCATCCCAGCATCTTCATGTATTCTTCTCTACCATCAAAATTCCCCCACCTCCACCATCCCCAGAACTCCACTCCCCACACCACCGGTATTGACCACTACCTCCCATCTTACCACCACCTCTCACCTCCCCTGCCACCACTACTATTCTTTTGAAAAGTTTTCTTTTATTTTTATATAGTGATTCTTCCAGATGGGTGTTAGACTCATTTTGTAAGGTTCTCCCAAATCCCAATGTAATAAAACTATATAATTGATCTGGGAAAAATAACCATTTCATAATATTCATCTTTCTACCAAAGCATAAGGTATGTCTTTCAGTTGTTTTTTTCTCAGTTTATTGGTTTGAGTAAAATTGTATAGCTTTCTACAAAGGCTTTTATATATTTCTTATTTTTCCCAACTATTTTACGTACATTTCTTATTTTTCCTACTCAAGTTATATTTTTATGACTTCATGAATAGAATCACTTCCATCCTACTTTTTAGTTAGTAAAACACTGGCATTTGGGGTGGCCATCGATTTTTGAACATGTATTTTATAACCAACAACCTTCCTGAAATTTCTTACTAGTTCCTTTAGGTTTTAATTAATCCAATTGTATATCAATCACTTTTAAACAAACTCAAGACACACCGTCTAATTTTTGGTTACTTATTGAAAAGCTTTACTTAAGCATAGGCATTAAATGCTATTTTACTACTTATTTTTAACAATCACCTTTTTATGATACTAATATAAAGATCTGAAACTGAGCCACCTTGGAAATCTAAAACGTAACATGTGCTCCTCTGTTGAACTACATTCATTTCCCTTGGGCACTCAGTCTTACTATTCAAAACTACAAAAAAGGCTCTGAATGAGAGACATTAAGTCATTTCTCACTTAGATAACAGGACAAATTAAACAATAAAACAATTCAGAATTTTGACAGAAACACACCAGGAACTTGGTGCCATATAAAAAGAAATTTGTCTCCTGATTCAACTCTGGAGATAATGGCCAGGATGATTTTTAAAATAAAACAGGGCCCACCTAAATATACTGAGAAAGCAATTGCATGCTCTTCTATATATAAGCAGATATCTTTTTCCCCAGATAAGCATACATTTCCTATATCAAAAGATCCAGACAATAGTACCAACAAATTATTAATTCACAAAATATTTGTTGTGCTCCTAGTAAGTGTAGGGTTCTGTGTTACCGGGAAAGATTGGGGGCTATAGTGATGATTACATACAAGAACTGAAGAGATACTGGCATAAAATAGAAGCTCAACAAATAATTAAGTGTATTATTTATTTATTATTATACATAATGATTGTGATTTATTGTTTACTATTAATTTCCAGAGGACTGAAAGTCTAGTTCACCATTGTCTTCCAAGAGCCTAGCATGGAAAACATACACATGTAATAACTATTTGCAGAATATTTTTTGACAAATGGATGTATTTTTACAAAAATCTCAGTTGCCAAAAAAATATTTTGGTTCAATTCTTAACTCCTAGCCTAAACCAGTTCTTAAAAGATGCATTTGTTAAAGCCAAGAATACTCCCCTTTTGAAGTCAGAATAAGGTTCTAAATTGCTCTTTCTATACTAGCTTAGAGAAAAAAAACCTTCTAAAAATCAGATCTTTAAGTTGGCACAGGAAAATACTAGGAGGCAGAGTGTTCATTCCTTCGCCAAATGTTTATTGAGAATCTTCTGCATAAAAGACATAAAATAAATGGCCATTATAGAGCTTACAGACATGGCCAAAGAAATAAACAGGCAATTATAAACTGAGGTAAGTGCTGTGGAACAAAAGTAAAAGGATGATGAGAGAGTTGGGCTGGTGGGGAAGAGAGGTCAGGGAAGCCCAAGGGACAAGTATGACCCAGGCTGGTAAAATATAGAGGGAAGTGGTTGGGGATGTTCCAGAAACACACAGGGTCAGTGTGACAGCAGCAAGAGGAAGAGACGCACAAGATGAGGTTGGCCAAGTACCAAAGGCTCTAGGAGTCTCTGGAATCTGTCCCAGGTGTATGGGTGGTATTTTATGTAGGGAACTGACATTATCCTATCTGCTCTGGATGAAGTATTAGAAGAGCCAGGCAAGGAATCAGGGGTCTTGTTAGGAAGTTAGACTAGTGGTCCAGGTAAGAGATGATAACTTAAAGTTTGATAGTGGTGGCGGTGGGGATAGAAAGAAACTATCAAGATGTATTTAGAGATCTATATAGAAAATGGCATCAAAGGTGATTCTTGGGTTTCTGGTTAAAGAAACTCCATGGACAGTGGTGTCATTTACCAGGTTAAGAAGGACTAGAAATTTGTTAGCTTATCTTTGTTGCTATTACTGTTTACTGCATTTTGTTTGTTTTGCATTGGTTTGGAAGGGTAGCAAAAAGGATGGAAGCCAACATCAACAAATTAGTTGAGGAGAGAGTATGTTTGAGATACCTGCAGAAGAGCCAGGTCCTGGTTTGTCTTGGCTCTTGATCACCCAGGTAAGTGACATGCACAAGTGAGGTACCTTTGAACCCTCTTCCCTACCATGGCTGGGTATATAAAGCCTCACATAGATGAGTTGGCTTAAATAATCCTTAAAGTCTCTCCTGAACCCATGCTACTCTGTCTTTACCTCCTGCTCTTATGCTGACATAACATTAATGTTGTCATTAAACACAGTTTCATGGGGATGTTGGTATACTGGGCTGAAGAATGTCTCCTAAGAATTCATGCCCATCCAGAACCTGTGAATATGACATTTAGAAATCAGGCCTTTGCAAATGAAATCTGATTAATATGAGGTCATACTGAATAAGGAATGGGTCCTAATCCAAAATGAATGACGTCTGTATAAGAAGAGGGAAATTTGGACATAGGGACAGAGATAGGAACATGCCAGGGGAAGACAGAGACAGAGATTGGAGTTATGCTGCCACAAGCCAGGGAATGCCTAGGGCTACCAGAAGCTGGAAAAGGCAAGCAGGGATCCTCCCTTAGAGGTTTTGGAGGGAGTATCGCCTTGACAACACCTTGATTTTGAACCTCTAGCCCCCAGAATCACGAGAGAATAAATTTCTGTGTTTTTAAGGCACCCAGTTTTTGGTGCCTTATAACTTGTTATAATAGCCCCAGGAAACTAAAACAGTTGGGAAATTTAGGTGAAATCACATGTTTTAACCTGAATCATCATATAGGGCACAGAGTATACATTCAGTAAATATCCGTTTCCCTTATACTCAGAATGGTCACCACCATTTTCTTGGTGGTTTAAATCATGAGTAATCTATGTATCTACTTATCTTGGCAGGTCTTACTACTCCTAGAACTGTTTCGTAAGTGAGGAAACTAAGGCTTAGGAAAGTTAAGTAATTTTCCCAGAATCACAAAGCTAACCATAGCAGAATCAGAGTTCAAGCACCTACCTCCTATACCTACAGCATTTTGACAAGCCCTGACAGAGTGGAGAGGCACTGCCAGACTAGATTTTCAATGCTTGCAATTAAAACTCACATTTTTTAAGAAAATAAAAAGCTGCAAAGACCTAGTACAATATCTACCTATTCACAGAAGAACACAGATTTTTAGTCTAAGGCCAATATTACCAATGAACTTGCCATTGGCTTCTATGGCTTCCATTTAGCAGTGCATCTGCCTTGCACTTATGTATTCCAAGTCAAGGTATTATCATCAGATTGGACATTTCTGGCTTGCATTTACTTAAATGCATTTTCCTTATGTATTCCCCACTTCGTTTTGATGATACTGACTCATTCTCGCCACCTAACAAAACTATAAAAATAGCGTGAGTGTAGAGGAAACTGTCTCCAAACTTCATATTCCAAGATGCCCATCCTTTAGATTATAAAGCAAAAAATAAATGCATGCTTTAAATTTACCTTTCTCCCTAACTAACATGGTGACCTTTCTCCCCAACGTTGAGGTGCTGTGCTGTTAAACATAACAGATATACAAATCTAAGGTAGCACAGCTATTATTATAAGGTGTCAATTTCATAGAATTCTAGTGTAGGAGGGACTTCTAAAAAGCATCTAGTCCCTCTGCATCACATAAGAGAAAGAGTGTCTTTAGCCTCCAAGTCCCAGAAGAGAAGTGGTTGCATAAGAGATTTTGTGAGTTACCTAAGACCCTGTGGCTATGTCTTGGTAGAACTCTGTAGAATTCCAGGTTTCCTGATTTCCCTAAAAGTGTGTTCAGTCTTTCAAGCTGTCATCAGCTATTAACAATGACACTTTCCTCTGGCTTTGTGCCAACTTTTATTTTTCTTTATTATTCTGGCCTTAAAAAGGCTACCATAAATAGCCTCAGTGCTTCAGGTTCCTTTAATTGATATCTAATGTTGACAAATTAACTCATACATGGAGTTGAAAGCTCCATATACACACATGGTGTCAAGAAAGGCGATCACACTTATCCTCCAAACTGAGCTGTGATGATCCTTGGACTTCTCAAGTTTACCCTCTAGGAGGCTGGCATGGCACACAATTTTGACAAGAGTTTAGAACTGAAATCCTCTTCCACGCCCTGCCCACGAGGGTGCCCACAAGCAGAAGTTCTCTTTCTCTCTCCATTACAACCCACCACGCGCGTGCACACACTCACACACGCACACAGGCAAATAACAAAGGAAAACACAGCCCCATAAAGGCTCAGTTATTGCATCCTCCAGTCCACACCTGCCAAAAGACAAAAACCATACGGAATCCTGCCCTTGCAATATGTCCAACACTCCTCGGGAAAAGCAGCACCGTGGCACCCCCAGGGCGTGCGCGGCTGTATACACACAAAGAACTGATGCTGGGCTTGCGAGCGGTTCGGGGTACTAGCGCGCTCTCAGGGCTGGAATTCGGGGTTCTCCCCCACACCCTCCCGCCCAGCAAAATGGAACTATCCTTTATTCGACCCGTAGAAATCCCAGGCTGGATAGTAGCGCATGGGTTGGGGGTGGGCGGTCCCGATAGCTACCCTTCAGGCGGCAGGTCCCTAGCCTTTGCATCTCCTAGGAGATGCATGATCGCGCTGTCACAGAGGTCTTCGAATCATCTCCCGGCAAAGCGAGATGCTCCGGGTACCAGCGGCGCGCATCCCCGCAGGCGCCCCTCCTTGCGCGGACACCCACCCAGGCAGCCCCACCAGGCGCGCCTGCCTACCTGGTGGCCGGCTGTCAGCGAAGCGGCGGTGCCTCAGCCTCTCCTCAGCTGCTACATCGCTCCCAGCGCCATGTTCCCGGTCTCCCCGGGAGCCCGCTGGGGAACTACTACGGGCTGGGTAGGGGCAAGGGGGGCGGGGGCCAGAGGGAGGGGGTGGGAGGCAGAGCCACAGCTTTCTACTCTCCACCCAAACCTCCCCCAGCTTCTGAGCATGCCCAGCTGCCTAGCTTCTCCCCTCGGAGGACTGTCCATGAGCGCACGCAGCTGCTCCGGGTTTTCCTGGCAGCCGGCGGGAGGCAGGCAGTAGCGGCTGCCGCGGGTAGAGGTGAGGGGGAGGGTCGGGGGGCGTGTCTACACTCCGGGTGCTGGAGCCGGGAACTGGAGCAAGCGACCAATCTAATTGCGCTTACTCCCTGCTGTCCGCAGCGGGGGCATCTCCTGCACGCCCTCTCCCCACACTCTAGGGGTTTGCAGAAATTTTGTTCAGGACCATTGCAGGTTTGAGCTTTGCTTAAGAGACTAGCAGAGGTAGGGAGGAGGAGGGGCTGAGAAGCAGAACAGTGGGCTGGCCTCTTTGCCACCACCTGGACCGGTGCGTCTCAAACTTTAATGTGCCTGTGAATTAAAATACAGATTCAGATTCAATTGGCTGGGTCCTGAGATTCTGCAAGCCTAACAACCTCCCAGGTGAAGCTGATGCTGGCCCTCTCACCACTCCGAGTAGCAAGGATCTAGAGAACCCCTTATCTGTGACCTCTGAGTGGCCATGCTTCAATCCACCAGCCCAGCAGTGGTCTCTGGTGTTCACAGAGACTCCTCCAGTTTGGCGTTGCCGAGCCTTCCCTGGAAGGAGTCTTCGTGGGGCTAGGATCTGACCACCCACCTTCTCCTTGGCTGCTGTCTGATTTAGAATTTAAGGCGCAGAGGAGAAAGGATTCCTGGACCTTTTCATGCTCACTTAGCTAGTAAGTCAGTTGCTGGCTGAGCTGCACCGGTTAAATCTGAACCACTCTGCGTTGGCTGTCCCCCTGCCTTTCCTGAGCTGGGACAAAAACTCAGACTGGGCATCAAAGTGTTTATTGTACATCTAATAGCAAACTTGGGCTTGCCCAGTTAAGAAGGCTGACAGATTATGGCAAGCATGTAGCGTATTTTTGGACTAAGAGATGACAGGCCTTTTTGTTAAGTGATGCTTGGGCTGAAGTTTGCAATGATATTTGTGGTTCAACTTAAACTTCCCAGTTGCCTACTGCCCTCCCAGACTCTTGAAGCCTCCAGCATTATCAAGACTCTAGTGAGTGAAAAACATTCATGAAGTAGTCCCGAGTTTTTACCCTTGGAAATGAAGAAGCCACACCCTTGTCTGTCTTCAGCTGCAGCAAGAGTACTGTGAGTTAGTAATGCATATGGAATCTGATCCCATAACTAGACACAAAATAAGGATTTGTATATCTCTGTTCCTTACTGTACTCAATGACCTTAGACAGTTTTCTAGCTAGTAGTATAATAGCTATCATTTCCCCTTGTTTGTTTTCCATTCATTTTGTACCTTTAATGTAGTACTGGCCATATCAAAACAGGAACCATAGGAAAAATTGATGATTACTTTTCTCCCTCCGTGTTCCTGTGTCCTTGTGTATCATACGCTCTTTTTCCATTTAAAGGAGTAAGAGTCTCTAAATCCATCGCTTCCTTCTCAAAGCTGCACACAGCCATGACAACCTACCCACTGCCCCTATTGTCACACCCAGGACTGTATGCATAAATATTCTCTACTTTTGACTTTCTTATATGTGTGCTCACATAGAGCCAAAACCCAGAAGATATTTGTATTGAGATGTAGTTTATTTGTCATTGGTTAGTAAGAGTTAAAATTTTTAATTGAAATATCGAACTGTAATCACTTAAAATAGCTTTCCTGTTATAGATAAAGATTCTGTTTGTACATTTGTTTCTGCTAGTTAAATATGATGATGATTGTTAGCTGCCTCACATTTATTTTGGAAGTGTGCAAGGTAAAAATTATAGATGAATAACAATACTATTTCTGTAAATACTGCATTGCATGAAGTCCTAAGGGTTTTTTTTATAAGTAATGTCATTTCTTGAGGGTTTAGCATGCAGTATTTGACTAAGGACCAGCACCTGTGGGTGGGGGTCATACAGGAAGCAGGAGCAGGCAGAGATAGAAGCTAAGCTGTGACGCAGTCCAATTGCAGTCTTGGTCAGCCCCTTAGGTAGCTCACAAGCTAGGGTGGTCCTTCAGAATGACCCTGAGTTGGTCTGAGATAGTCAGTTTTTTATGTCCACGTGAATCATTGAGCATGGGCTGTTTCTAGTGTGGGCATGAACTTCAGACAGGCAGCTCTGGCAATCCTTAAAGGGAACGACAGCTAAAGCCCTCTATCAGCTGTAGTCCCCACAGTTGAGGTAATGAATCCATCACTTAAGGGGAATTTAGGCAAAACATTACTTTGTCCACCACATTGATACATTTATTAAGTACAGCACTTTTGAACACACAAAGTAGAACTCTACTGATTTGTCAGAGAGATTTGAAAACTTTATTTTTAAATAAGTAATAGGTTTTCTCTCTGGCTCAAGTATTTAAAAGTTGGAAAATAACCTGTAATCAGTCATTGAGAGTATACTATCTATTTAAGTATCTGGCTGTATGCATTTTTATATGTGGTGTTTAATATCATTTATTGAGCAGGCATGTATTCATTGTCTGCCATTTAAGACACGATTTTCTCTACCATCAAAATCTGTATTTATAATTTGTAATGGGGGGGGAATGACTGTTTGATAGTAATTAGAAGTGTGTTTTTTAATAAAATAGTGCTACTGACTAGTCAAGATTTCATGCATATCATGGAGAAGGTAAAGAGAATAACCAATCTTGTTGACACCAAAAACTGTGACAAGATGAACCTGAGGGGTGGAGAACTTAGTAGATTGGCTGATGGGGATGTGTAAGACAGCATGCTGGAACCCTTCAGACTACCCAGCTTATTCTCTTTACCTTCTCCATGCTATGCATCTGCAAATGTCTGGAATTTTTGAAAGATGATCCACAACCATAAGGGAACCAGCATGGAACCAGCAGGACATTGGCTCAGACATTGGAGGTGGGAAAAGAATAGGAGGTGGGAAAGAATGTTTCAAGGAACATAAACGAAAAGCATATGAAGAATGGGTCTCTAAGGAATAATTTCCCCAAGGAAACAGAAAAAAAGTTTAGACAAGTATTTTTTTTCCCAGAGTTTCAAAGAAATGAAAGACCATATAATTTCAATAAAGTTATTTTAAAAGCACCACAAAGAAATATAAGGATTTAAAGAAGAGACAATAAGACTAAAATAAAAGATAAACTAGCAAAGGTCAGGGAAAAATAAAAGTCATTAAACCACTCAAAAGATAAGAGAATAGGGGCCCAGTGTAATGGCTTATGCCTTTAATCCCAGCATTTTGGGAGGCTGAGGTGGGCAGATCACCTGAGGTCAGGAGTTCAAGACCAGCGTGGTCAATGTGATGAAACCCTGTCTCTACCAAAAAATCCAAAAAAAAATAGCACCTATAATCCCAGATACTCAGGAGGCTGATGCAGGCAGAAGAATCACTTGAACCCAGGAGGCAGAGGTTGCAGTGAGCCAAGATCACACCACTGTACCCCAGACTGGGTATAACAGAGGGAGACTCCATCTAAAAACAAAACAAAAAAAGAAAAGAAAAAGAATAAAAACAAAAGACTAACCACAACTGAAATCACAGTGAGACATGTACTTAGCTACTAACAAGGAATAAAAGAAATCATAGATCATTGTTATGGAAGACAAAGGAGATCCAACACATGTACAACCGGAAGTATGTAGGAGCTGGCTTGCACCAGCCTGCAAGAGCTGACTGGGCACATGTACCACTCCCTAACTCCATTTTCAGTAACATCATATTGGTAGCTTGAAATCAGCCATTGTGGAAGTATTTATACCACACAAATGGACACATGCTACAAATCAGGGGTTTTGTTTGTTGGTTTGTTTGTTTTCAGACAACTTGGTTATTACACATCTACCAGAATACCACTTTTTACAACCTTTGCTGTTAAAAAATAAATAAATAAATAAAAATAAAATGGAAGAGAAAAAAAGTGATTGAATATATAATAGAAGTATAAAAGTTAATTTCCTGAAATAGAGATTGTTAGATCAGGAGAACAAAAGAACATAATTGTCTCAGGGAAAAAAAAGAATCAATCTGGAACAATTAACCCCAAAATATATCCTACTGAAGCTATAGAACTTCAAAAACAAATAATGTTCTGAATATTCAGACAGAAAAGGCAATTTACATGTAAGAAAAAGAAAACCAGTGTGCATTTATGTTTCTTCACAGCATCAAGCAATGCCTGAGGGAATGTTCTGAGGGAGAGAAAGGCTGACCTAAGAATGTTTGTTTTCCTAGCCTGGTGTTCTTCAGATTTTCAAGGCAACAGTCAATTATTCTCAAACCCAATAAATCAGTATACACAGCAGAATAAACCTTTATAATACTCTACTTTGTTATCAAATTTATACAACTAAGAGATAAATTTAAAACATAAATCTCATGAATGATGAAACTGTGGTCAAATGTTGTGATAATGATAATCATATTTATTTTAAAATAAATCTATGACTAAATCACTGTTTGACAGTTTTAAGTTGCAGTAGATAGATACAAAACCCCATCTCCAATCTCGTCATGCTTTTTTCACAGTCTATTTTTCTTATCTTTAAGGGAATATGTTTCAAACTTATATCTCTTTATGTGAAAAAAATTTTTTTCTGAAGCTGAGAAATTACTGCAGGCACATTTTAGCTTCTTTTCTTAATTTTAATAAGATTAAATATAATTTTGTTTTAAAGTAGCTTGTGTGCTAACAGACATATATGGATGATACTTGAAAAAGTATATCTGTCAACTTATCCTACTTGTTATAACCTAATACTTTTATATCTTTCCATACAGGAAGCTTTATGGAATATTATAAACCAAGGAACATTCTTGAAGAAAAGATTTTAGGTTGATTGTTTACTTCTCTATATTCCTGAGAATTCCTTGAAATTTTAGACAATAAATGTATGGGTTTTTTAAATA